ATATTTGCGCTCAGAACACACCTCAAATGATGTACCGCAACTTAAAAATATTCCAGAATGTCTGTCTAAAGTATCGTATCTCACTGTCTCGTAATATAAAACAAAAAAAACAACAATAACAATATGGTCCTTGAACTTGATAGTACTATCCTAAGCAACGGCGCTTAGACCAGAGTACTGGTGTTGTCTTTACTCCGCTATATGTAGTTTCCAAGGCGAACCTTGGGGCCATTAATGATACGCTAATTAAGGTTAATGACGTCTGAAAAATAAAGACTGACGTACGAAAGCGACTTCTAACATACTGTCCAGAAATGTTTATACTGTTATGCCCACACGAAAACAACAAACAATGCGTTTTGACAAAGTGTTCGTATACAATGCCCTAAATTTTTTAAATCAAGTAATATCGTGGTCTCATTTATTGTGTATGCCCTTTGTTGTAGTTGTAGTCCACCTCCGCACTTATTGAAACACTTCAATAATCCTTGAGCACATCTGTATAATTTATTTAATCAATAGTATACTCTTAGTATAATTCGTGCATGTCTTATCTTCTCATGCTAATAAATTTATTTATAATTCCTGTACTCATTCAGTTGTCACTATTTCCTTGTACCCAATTATTCTATTTATGGATTCTTGTACACATTATTTGTCCATCAGATTTTTTTATCCATTTTTTTTTTCAGATATTGTATTCAATCGTAGATTAATTTATTCTTGTAATGATTCCTATATGTCTTCTTTTTTTTCGTGTATTGTTAATACATTTGTGGGGGAGCGTGGTGGAATCAGGCTCTCGTCAATTTTTGAGCATGAAGAGTTATTTGTATCATCTTAAAACTTGTTCACTTGTCTTTATTTGGTTGAAAAAAATATCCATTTATCTTGAATACAAGTCGAGATATTTGTGAATGGAGAAGGTGGGGGTCATCTGTTTTCAGAGGTAAAATTAGTTTAAAAATGGTCGCCAAAGATGAGTTATTTCCTTGAGTTAAGGATCCTTCATTGTTTTGTTTTTGTAAAGTGTTTTACGGCGCTCGCAACTGCATAGGTCATATGAGCG